GTCCCAAAACTATGCAAACCAAGGTGCATATGCAAATGTGATCTCCATAAATTCTCCCAAAAAGACTACTTCACCCTTGCCATCTTCAAATTTCTTCCCGAACATTTCCTACGATAGAAAATAACTATCGCTAAGCATAAAGCTTAGTGGTGTATAAACTTTAGGCTTGGAGTCATTAAATTCTCCAATTCCCCTTTTCAGTCATAGTTAGCTCAATTTAACATAATTTAAAATAAGTGAACAAATATATCAAACATATCAATATCAAACTTTGAAGTGTTTCCAAATATCAATAACAATGTTCAAGAGTCTAGAAAGTGTATACTATCAATTTAAGAGAGTATACCAAATATCCATTTTTCTCCCAATATGTACGTCATGTCATCACACTAAGCATAATCAGATATCAAGATAGACCGAAGCCCCAAATCAAGTAGGGTCAAAACCTAATAGACAAGAGAATCAAGAACCATATTAAAAATGGCTTTCTAGTTCGTACTTAACACGGACAAGTTCCATAATTCAAGACGAACAACAAATCCAAACAAGATGGCAAAAGATCCGAATCAAGAGGCATGCCAAGATGAGTGACAAAGTCACTGCTACAAGAAGGACAAAGTCACTGCTACAAGAATGCAAAATGATCAAATAATCCGTACGAATGGGCGATTTAGCAAATATCTTACAATACTTGATATAATACGAATATAACAATATAAATTGAAGCCAAGAAAAATAAAATATCAAGTTATTTCAACATATTCCAGCAAGCAAAAAGAGTACAAGTTTATACACAAACCTTGGTGTTTTACCACGAAGCAATTCAATCACAACTTGGGGACGTTCGAATCGTCTACGCCGTAAACAAACCAAATCTGTCCACTTCCTCAAACACTTCCCCTTTGATTTTTTTCAAGGGTTTATATACCTTAAATACATAATCAAGTATCTAAATAAGTTCAGTGATTTAGCAAGTCAAACTAAATATGATATTGGTGAAAATTACCCAAAAACGTTTGAAACAGAAATTCTGGACAGTATCACTATTCCGAGTTGTGACTCAGTTTTTGAAGATTTACACGGACAAACTAGACTTTCTGGTCTTCACAAAAGTTGTAGATCTATGTCTTACCGTTTCAGAACATCTTGAATAACCTCCATATCAATTTTGAACAAAGAGTTATGCTAAAATTACTAACAGCAGTACATGGAGTATTTCTAAAACTGGAAATCTGGACAGCACCAGCCCTGTACTTTCTGATCCTTTTTCAGGTAAATACCAACAAAACTAGATTTTGGTTCCTTCATAAGAGTTATAGATTTATGAAATACCTTTCCCGAAAGTCCTAGATCACTTAAATCGGAGCTCTGTACAAAAAGATATGTAGAACATTCTAGTAGGTGTCTAGTATAAAAACGAGTTTAGAAACTTACCAAGAGGAGCAACTTGATCTTCACCAAAAACGAAATTTACTTGTTGATTTAGTAGAAATCCATGGTTTTTTTTATGAAACTTCAGATTTCAAGTTTCTACGGAGGAGAGAGATAGAGAGATGGAGGGATAGATAGAAAGAGAGAGATGGATAGCTACTCTTCTTTGTCTTGAAGAGTAGAAACAAAATGGGGAGTTTATGGATAGATATGAAATAAAATGGTTACCCAACTACTAAATATTCTTAAATAAATACAAAAGGTTGGAAACCCAAAAACTTAATTATATATTATATTTAATAACAACTTGTCAAAATAATATTAAGTGTTACATATAACAACATCATGAAACTTCATTGTCAATATTAACAGAACCTAAAGTAAGAAATTTTCATATATTGACCATTTCACATTTAGGAAGTGCAAAGTAAATATTTTCTCGTTATAAAAATGCTCAATCAAGAATGCAAATATTATAAAAAAATTTGGGGTGTTACATTCATAGTCTTCCCCAGGAATATTACTTCGACTGCTTGAAGGTATGTCAAAGTTATACCCTTGATGACTACTCGAAGCACTTGAATAGATATGTTCATTCAAATCAACTGGAGGTGCTTCCTCTCCGTGCGATGTCCAATACCAATATCCTGGCATGAACCCTTTTTGAAAAACATGCACAATAACTTGATCGCATTTTAGGTGCTTCATATTTTTACAACGCTTACAAGGGCACCTTATGACTCCCTCGGACAAGTACTTAGGTTGACTACAAGCAAATTTAATAAACTCATCCATGACACGTAAAAATTCATCTGTATATCCCGCTCGACGGGGAAGTAGTCTATTTTCCATCCATTTTCGATGCTCGGGAATTTTCATTTTCTGAACCAAAAGACAAATATAGTTAAAAATATAGATAATAGCATTTAGGCACTAGACATAAAACAGTTAGTGTTGGAATTCTTGGCTGCCCAAAAAACAGGCCCAGTCTCATGAAATTTACATGTACTGACATGCGTACATCACAACATAGTTCTGGCAGTCCACTTAATCTACTTTTACTCCCTGTTGTGCTTTTAAAAGATTGTATGGTTTGCACTGAAAATGCATCCTCTAGTCAGGCAACACCAGTTTTTTAGAGAAATATAAACACCACAAATATGTGTGTGTAAGATCAATGTGAGTATAATAAAAATAAAAAATAAAAAGAGCTAACCAGGTGGGCAAAAGATGAAGAGTAAAAACGTAATATAGCAAAAACTTTTGAAGAAAAAATAAGCCTTGTGGCACTTAACACTTCAATTACCACTAAAAATATCACCACAATTCATGTTTGCTTCTTCTATCTGTTATTTAATCCAATAAGAAAAAAGCACAAATACATATCTAACATATCGGTCAAAAATTAATCAAAATATAGTGCACATGGCAAGTGTTAACCCCCTGACAAAGGTCCTCGGCAGGTGTGGGTTGTGACAAGGATTTTCATGATGGCCTTGGCACACAACCTGAAAAAAATGGGGCAACATCATGAAGGGCTGCTCGGCATGACGGACAATGCAGGGTTCGACAAACGCACCTTGAACGGAAGCAAGGCACATTTTACTTAGATGTGCGGGTTTGGCAAAACAATGACAAGCAAAAGCCATGTCAAGCAGGGGCAAAGACATGGCAAGGCGGGACAAGCAAAGGCAAATGATACAGACAAATTTGATCAAGTCGGGGGCGATTTGACATGGGTGGGCAGCTTTGACAATGAACGTGTGCGGCTAAGTCAGTGGATGGTGAGCTGTGGCAATGACATTGGCGCGGAGCAGTGTCAAAGACAAGGTTGGGCGCAATGCCAGCCTTGGCACAAAGCAGCTGGGCAAAAATCGGGCCAAGCTGTGCACAAGCAGCAGTTGGAAAACATGTGCCAAGCATATGGGAAGCAGTTGGCAGTTGCAACCTCTTCTAAGACATGCTGATCATGGCCTAAAAGTGTGCCCACGTTTTTGTACTTTGGCTTAACTTGTTGCCCATCAGTTGGGGCTTTGTCAACTGATTGTAGCCTTTAAATATTTGCCTAGGCTGTCCAAAACGGGGCAGAAACTTAGTCTAAGGCATTGTGTTAGCCAAAATTCGTCTAAGTTATTTTCCTAAGGGTGGGAAAACTATTTTGGGGCAGAGAATTAGGGAATTCTTTGTCTTGGCCATAGGGTTGGCTATTGTGTTCTTGTATTCACTCATTAATACAAGTTGGGGAGAAATTCATGTATATCGTGTGCCTTTATTTACAGATTTTGCTGCCTATTTTCATTCTAAGTTCAAACGTTCCTAAAAATAAAACTAAGTGTTGGAAAGGCTGAAGTCAAGGCTGGGCTTGACTGCCACACGGAGGTGAACCTCGGGCTGAGTTCGAGTGACACAAATCACCCCTGTGACAACTGGTATCAGAGCTTGGCTGGATCGGGGCGAAGACACAACGTTCATTGGTTGAATTTTGTGAAGAATGGTTGGTGGCAACGCAGAACTGAGGGAAAAGGTTGCTGCATTAGAGGCACTTGTCGGAATTGTTGATGGGGATCAATTTCTGACTATCTTGACTCGTCTCGCCTATCTTGAGGCCGAGATGAACAGACTGAGCCAGGAGTGCACAGATCTGAAAACGGAAAATGGGTTGTTGCGTCGTGCTGTTGGCAATGATGAAGCACAACGTGGGGCAGATCGTACCAAGGTCAGAATTCCGGAGCCTAAAGAGTTCAATGGCGCAAGGAGTGCCAAGAAACTTGAAAACTTCCTGTGGGATATGGAACATTACTTCCATGCTGCCAAAGTGCAAGATGAAGACAAAGTCCCCATTACGACTATGTACTTGGTGGATGATGCAAAGCTATGGTGGCGTACACGCGTGGCAGATGATGTAAGTGCTGGTAGGCCGAAGATTGACTCTTGGGAAGGGCTGAAGAAAGAGTTGAAGGATCAATTCTTTCCTAGCAATGCGGGCTGGATTGCTAGAGATCGTTTGAAGAAGTTGAAACAAACTGGAACGGTCAGGGATTACGTCAAGGATTTTAGTTCTTTGATGCTGGATATTAGCAACATGTCTGAGGAGGACAAGCTGCATAATTTCCTTTACGGGTTGCAGTCGTGGGCGCAAATGGAACTCCGAAGGCAAAATGTGAAAGATCTTCCTAGTGCCATTGCTACTGCGGATGCGTTGGGTGATTTCCGGTTGGGACAAGATGGTTCTGATTTCTTTACTACTTTAAAGTCCAAAAACGGGAACAAGGACAAGGGAAAAGACTGGAGGAAAAACGGAACTGACAAGGGTAATGCTATTGAGGGCAATGGCAATGAGAAGGGAAAGCAATGTGCTGGACCTTCGACAAACAAGGGACAAAACAGCAAATTTGATGGCTGTTTTATTTGCAAAGGACCACACATGGCGAGGGATTTTCCAAGAATTGAACGGCTTTCAGCGTTGTTTGAAGAAGAAAAGAGTGAAGATGAACAAAACGAGGAAGAACATG